GGGGGGGGGCTCAGTCGGTTAAGCATCCGACTCTCGATCTCGGCTCAGGTCCTCATCTCACAGTGAGTGGGACCGATCCCCGGATTGGGCTCTGTGCTGACAGTGCGGAGCCTGCTTGGGATTTGCTCTCTCCTTCTCTCTCTGCCTCTCTTTGTCTGTCAAAATAAAGAAATACACTTAAAAAAAATATATGGTCAACACATGTGAGAGGACACCAGTTACTAATGTCATTAGTCATTACTAATGTTACTTTATTATCAGTGGTGATTAGTAAATTCCCATCAAGACCCCAGTGAGAAGCCACGTATGCTCACCCAGTAGGAGGTGGACAGTCACTTACATGTTGGAAATCAGTTTGATGGCACGTTGTAAGGTCTGACATTCACATACGCTATGATCTCCACTCCCAGGAGTGCACACGAGAGAAACCATTGTGCGCACGCACCAGGAGACGTGGAGAAAGACCATCGCCACCTTGTTCATAACAGCAAACACCGAGGCGCAATTCAGCTGCTCACTAGCAGAATGGATAGATAAATTGTATGTTCGTACAAAGTAGTACCAAAACAAAAAATAACAGACGTGTTCAATGTGGATACATTTAAGGCATATGACATTGCGTGGGAAAGGAAAAGTCATTACAGCTTGATACCCTTTTGGTAAAGTTAGACACAGCTAAAAATGACCAGTGTATTTTCAGTTGTACATATGGATGCGAGAAAAAACTAGATATACATGGAAAAGTTTTCGGGAGAGTGGATACCTAGTGTTGGGGGAGGAGGGGACCCTGAGCGGGAAGGGGAGCGCGGAGAAGCACAGATCAGTGGGAGTCATCGGCTGGGAGGGACGTGGGTGTTGGTTACAGCCATACACAGTTTTAAAGAGAGACCAGAGAGGGTCATGTGTGGACCAACCATGAAAGCAAATCAGGAGCCGGAGGTTACGGGGTCTCCACTTCTGTGCGGAGATTTGTTGCTGCTGTTTTAAAGTCACAGATGCCTGTGGTTTAAAAGAAACAGAGGTCTCTAAGTTTTAATCAAAAACAGTGGTCCCAGCCCCCACTTTCCTCTCTTCCCTCTCCAGCGACAACAACATTCAGGATGTGTGCTGCCGGGTCCAGCACGAGACAACAACGTTCAACATTCAAGCCATTTTGACTAACGTTTGGCGATTCACTTCCGTATTTCTGAGCAACACGCTGTGATGGCTATATCTTGATTTTTCTCTTGTGGGCTTTATCTATTGACAGAACCCTCTGGAATATATCTTGCTCTTTCCTCTGTCCGTCTCAGCCACATGGACGTTTCCTGTCCCCCAAGTTCCCATCATCCCAGTACAGTCCCGTGATCATGTCTGTTGTATGAACACTCAGGTTCACATGTCAGTTACATCTGCGCCATATTATTTTCCTTTTACGTATAACATTGTTTTCTCTAAGTTGTCAACTATTTTTGTTTCTTAATTTTTTTTTAAGTTTATTTTTGAGAGACAGACAGAGAGTGAGCGGGGGAGGGGACAGAGAGAAGGAGACACAGAATCTGAAGCAGGCTCCAGGCTGTGGGCTGTCAGCACATAGTCTGATGTGGGTCTCGAACTCACAAACAGTGGGATCATGACCTGAGCCCCCTGGGCACCTATTTTTGTTTTTGTTTGTTTGTTTGTATTTCTAGGTTCTCACCAAATCAGCCACAAAATCTCTCCTTTTCCACTCAAACTCTTCTCAAAATATTTGGACACATCAGATACACCATCGATTTCAAATTCTTGCTGTCGCGGTCCCTGAAGCCATCTGTCCCGAACCAGACTGACAGGCGGCCTTCACCTACCTGGGGCCCAGCTGCCCTCCTGGCACTTCTGTCCCCCAGCACCCTGGGGGCCCTGCCCACTTCTGTGTGTTTTCTATATCATGGGTGTTTCTCTCTCACGAATAATCCGCCGCCACCCCCCAGTTTTGGGATGGAAACATCCTCTAGTAACTTCCTGAGAAAAGGTGTTTGTAACAGAAGTTATTTTGAGAACCCACCGGCCTGAAAGTGTCTTTATTCTGCCCGCCCACTCGATTGATGTCTCCCAGTCGAATTCTAGGCTGGAAACATTTTTCCTTCTGACTGGTTCCGCTGTCAGGTAGTTTCCAGAGTGTCTGTTATGAAGTTCGCAGTCTTCCAGAGGGAGATCGTAGGATCTTCTCTTTGTCTCCGGTGTTCTGAAATTCCCCAACGGTGCCGGGCCCTTGTAATCCATTATGCTGAGCAGCTGGTAGACCTTTCAATCAGAAAACCCTTTTCCTTCAGGTCTGCGAAGTTTGCTGTAAATAATCCTTCAGGGGCACCTGGCTGGCTCAGTTGGTAGAGCATGTGACCCCCGATCTTGAGGTCGTGATTTGAGCCGCACATTGGGCATAGAGCTTGTTTAAAATTTTTTTAACATTTATTCATTTTTGAGAGACAGAGACAGAGTGTGAATGGGGGAGGGGCAGAGAGAGAGGGGGAGACACAGAATCCGAAGCAGGCTCCAGGCTCTGAGCTGTCAGCACGGAGCCCCATGCGGGGCTTGAACTCACCAACCTCAAGATCATGACCTGAACCGAAGTTGGACGCTCAACTGGACTGAGCCACCCAGGGGCTCCAAGATCTGTGTTTTTAAGAAGCTCCCCCAGGGATCTTAGGCCCAGTAAGAACTGGCGTGTAGAAAGAATGTTCTGAGAAAGACTGTTCTGTGCATGCAGAGTGGGGAGCAAAGAGATGAAAGGAGGGTTGGTGGAAGTGGCATATTGGTCTGGCTCTGAAGGCGGGGAGAGATTGCAGACATGGAGTAAGCTGGCAGGGAGGGGTCATGTAGGCTTGTGCGATGGAAGATTCAAGCTTGGGCCTGTCACTGTCGCTCTTCCTTGTGGCCATCACCCCCGGCCCCCATCATCCTTTCCATCTTCCTTTTTGGCCTCCTCCCCAAACTTCAACAGTTTTCAGGGGCTGAGCTCAGTAGAATCTTCTGCTCTCCCAGAGTGGGGAGGGGGCGCCCACAGAAGTGGATCGGCATGGGAAGGACACACACACAGATGACAATAGACGACATCCAGTCACAGGTGGACAGGAAGAGGCAAAGATGGATAAAGAAGAAAGGAAACAGAGTCACAGGTGGACAGGTGTGGAATCGCAGGCAGGCGGGCGCGAGCCTTTGGAGGACACACACACACGTGGGTGGATAAGAAGGTCACACACGAAGGCACGACAACAAACGGCGGGCACGGAGAGGGACGGGTGCCCAGGACACACGCAGGTGGACAGGCGGGAGGCCCGGGAGGACGGGGATGCGCTCGGGTGATGCCTCGGGTCTCCCAAGGGCACTCAGGAGGCACGCGGTGCTGCTGCCAGGCCCTGCGCATCTGTCTCTCCGCCGGCTGTCGCGGGGAGACCCCAGGCTGGACAGCGAAGGGTCACTCCTGGGCGTGCACCTTGGTCAGGGCGAGGGAGTCACCTCCCCACGCGGGGCACGCTCATTTTAGCTCTCAGACGTTTATTATTAGGCCCTAAGTCTCACTTCTTTCTCACTCATCTCCCAATTTTGCACAGGTCTCTCGGGCCCCGCCTCTTTTTGGGGTGTTTTAGGCCAATTCCTGGCTTCAGGCCACTCGGGGGCTGCATCAGTTCATTTAGAGTTCACTTTTCCTTTAAGCTCTTTTCCCCATTCACCACTCTCGCGGACTCCCTCTCGTTCCCGACGTCGCTTGCGGTTCCTAAGAGCACTACATCTCCCAGCAGTCTTAGCGCCCATGCGTCTACCCTAGGGAACTTCAAGTACCGAAATGCTCTCCCACTGTCTGCTGACTACCGCGGTGACCGATGGGGCTTGTGGTCCCCTGAGGAATTGTCAGAGGCCCGAAGAAACTACTCATCCCAGGAGTCCTCGCGTCAGAGGCGGGTTTCCCTCTTGGCTCTCTGCGCGACCCTTAATCCTTCCTCGGACTCGAACTCCCGCCGTGCCCCGCGCTGGGCTTCCAGTGGCGGAGAATGGAGTGGTGGCCAAAGTGTCCTCTGGGAGTTGTAGTTTCTATATTGGTGAGGCGAGGAGGAGGCGGAGTGACTCGGCGGCCATTAGCTGTGTGTAGTTGCCCGGGACTGGGAGCTTAAGTGAAGAGGGAAGCCTTGCTCGGTGGAAATCTACCGTGGCCATGGGCTCCTGCCGGGCCTAGCCCCAGAGTACGGAGAAGGCGGGCTTTTCGGTGCCCCGCCCCGCCCAGTGGCGGGGCCCACTAGGCCCCCGGACATCCCCGGTCTCAAGTAGGCCTCGTCTGCCGGCAAGGGCGCCCCAAAGGCGGGAGGCGCCATGTCGCTGGTTGCTTACGCCAGCAGCGATGAGAGTGAGCCGGATGAGGCTGAGCCGGAGCCGGAGGAGGAGGAGGCGGCGGCCCCTCCATCTGGGCCCGCTTTAGGGGGCCTGTTCGCTTCTCTCCCCGCACCCAAGGGCCCGGCCCTGCTGCCTCCGCCCCCCCAGATGCTGGCCCCAGCTTTCCCCCCGCCGCTGCTGCTGCCCCCTCCCGCCGGAGACCCCCGGCTCCAGCCGCCTCCGCCCTTGCCCTTCGGCCTGGGGGGCTTCCCCCCACCCCCAGGCGTGAGCCCGGCCGAGGCGGCGGGAGTTGGGGAGGGGCTGGGATTGGGGCTGCCCTCGCCCCGGGGCCCCGGCCTCGGCCTGCCGCCCTCCGTGGGCGGTGCCGGGCCCCCCCTGGGCCTTCCCAAGCCAAAGAAGCGGACAGAGCCCGTGAAGATCGCGGCGCCGGAGCTGCGTAAGGGGGATGTGAGTATCCGGGGAGGGCGCCCCCGCACTGCCCCTCGGCTCGGGTTTGGGCTCCGCCGGACCAGGGACCTGGGAGGTTCCGGGGCTGCCTCCTGTGCGTGCCTCCGTTGGCCGCGGACCGCTGCGTTCCTGCCACGCTGCTATTCACTGAGCTGAGTCTGTCAACTTCGCTGTTTGTCCACGCGGGTTTCGCGGGGCCGGACCCGCCTGCGGAAGGGCCACGTCCCGTCCCCCGGCGCTGGCGGTCCCGGGCCCCCGCGCGCCTGCTTCTGCTCCCCTGTTGCGTCTTCAGCCCAGGCCGTGTGGTACTTGTCTTATCCGGAGAACGGCTTACGACCCGCCACCTGAAGAAGTGACAGGAGGCAGGATTCCTGAGCTGAGCCCTCGCCTGCACATTCGGGACCAACTTTTCCCCGTTGCCCCTAAAACCATTAGGGTCTGGACGAAAAGAATAGGCATCTCGAGTTCTGCTCTTGAGGGGAGTTAGGGAAGAAGGGGAGGTTTTGTCCTTCCCCTTCTTCCCCTTTCAACTGCTGCAGAGCTCTGGGAGGTAACAGGTGTCCAGCAGGTAAGATCTTACCTGGAAAAGGACAGAGTGGAGGTGAAGAGCTGGGTCTGTCACTTCCAGGCTGGTGCCTCAGTTTCCCCGTTTAGGTACCGCTAAGCCTAGGGGAGATAGGATGCTTGGGTTCTATTTCTAGAAGAAGCCGCCAAGTTGGAACAGAAAATAGAAGGCCTGTTCTGGAGCGAGTGCTTTGGGAATAAAGGAGACATGGAGCCTGCTGGCGGGCAGGGGCTTAGGGTTATGCCGAGGTCTTTCCTCTCTGGCTCCTGAAAAGCGAACCGGTCAGTCTTGCGCTCACCTTTGGTAGCCCTCTGGGAGAAGCTTATTTTTGCTCTTCCTGCCCTGCAGGCTTCCGGCTCTGGCTGGGGGCCGTCACCCCTTCCTTGCACTTGCTGGCCCCTCGCCTTCTAACCCCAGATGGCCTTTTGTTCTCCCATCGGCTCCTTTGGAAGCTGGCTTCTCAGGAGGGCTTTCTGGCCCACCTGCATGAGCTGCAGCCTCTTATCCCTCACCCTTTCCCTTCGTTTTTCTCCGGCAGCCGTACAAGCCCCCCGAAGGCAGGCCCTGTTGATTCGTGCCGTATCCCACGCGGTCGAAACCGTGCTCGGGGTGTGCGGACTGCTGCCTGGGTGTTCCCTGAGTGAATACACGTGAATGAATGTGGACTGTTCACGAAAAGGAGGCTCCAGGATCTCCCTCCCGTCTCGTTCCAAACTTTCTTCCACGTTACTTCACCCTCTCTTTGCCCCGAGTCTGTTGTTTCCAAGTCCGGGATCCCAAACAGCCTTCTGTCTCCAGTGAAACTTTGGTCTTGGTTTTGCCTCGAGCGCAGGGAAGTCCCTGAACAAGACCGAAGAGAACGGGTTCATTTCTTCCGCACTCTCTCTTCTCCGCTTCGCCGTGTTCTCCGCCTAGTTTACCTCTGATGTCTGGGGGGAGGAGGCACTCTGAGGCAGCCTGCCTCCCTCCGCTGTGACAGCGGAGAGTTCATTTGCAGGTCTGGGGAGGCAGCATCAGAACAAGTTGCCTCTAAAGGTTGTAGAGTCTTCCATTCGGTCTGGCTGAGGTGGAGGAAACCCCTGAGGACTCCCCGCCCCGTCCCTCCTTTGTCAGTGTGATTCTCGAAGTTCCCAAAGTTCCCGAATGCCCCAAGGTGAAGGCCCAAAGTTCCCGAATGCCCCAAGGTGAAGGAGACTCGAGACTCGAGACTTGGATCATTCAAATAAAGCCAAAGCTTCCTCCCCCTTCAGTTTCCTACCTTCCTTCATCTTGAGCTGGTGCTGGCGGTCTCTGAGCGCATGGTTCCTGCGGAAAGGTCCCCAAGAGCACAGGATGGTCAGCTGAGGGCAGCTGCTGGCTTTAGGATCGTGCTCCTCCGGTTCTAAGCTGTGTGTCTTGCACTTAGTAGGCTCACAGGGCACGTTTGGAGAAATAAACAAACATTTTCTTAGGTGACTTCCCTTTAGGGTTTGGAGTTGAAGTAGCAGCAATGAACTCTGAACTCTCGTTCGTTCGTTGGTTCGTTGGTTCGTTCGATCCTAGCCTGCTTCTCTGTGCCAGCAGCTCAGAGTACAGTGAACGTGATAGGCTCTGCCCACAAGGAGCTTCTGGAGGAGGCGGACGAGGAGATAGATTTCGGGTCAAGTCGGAGAAGAGCCATGGTAGAGCTGGTGCCGTGGGAACGTACCTAGTGGGTGCTAATCCGGTCTAGAGGCTGGGGAGGCTGCCAGAGGGAGATGTCTGCACAGAGATGAGATACGTGAGTAGAGGGAGCCGGAGAAAGCGGGTGCCTCGGGGAGGAGCACATCAGGCGGAGGGGCAGGATGTGGCAGGGAGCTTAGCGGCGAGAGAGACCATGCTTCCGGGGCACCTGGAGTGAGTTAAGCTCCGGAGCTGGATGCGGGGACGTGGGGGTGCTGAGGCCAGGGGATGTGGCCTCTGGGCACCACGGAAAGGCCTTCGTAAGTGACCCTGGGGTAGTGAGGCGCCCTTAACGGGCCGAGCAAGAATTCTCTGGTTGCACAGCGGCCAAGACCTGGGGGAGCAAGACCGGCAGGCACGGCGTGGCAGGGAGTGATGGCCTGGGCACCCGGGCGCGGGCCTGGGGAGAGCTGCAGGTGGCAGGGCTGTGGAGGAGGTAGAGCGTCTGGGCCGTCTGGGCGGTCGATGGGACGGCCTAGATGAGGGCCAGGATTCAAGGTTGACCCCTGCCTTTTAGCTCAGGCAGCCGGAGGGTAGTGGTGCCATTTATTTAGGGAATACAGAGCAGATTGGGGATTAGCTGGATTTAGTTGGTTGCAAGGATCAGAAACCACCTCAAGCCAGGTTGAATAATGAATGTCCCGAGGCACCCGGGGAAAGGGCCTGGAGTCAGAAGTTGGAGATCTTTGTGTGTTTGATTCCTGCTTCTTTGGCTGCAGATCAGTTTCCTCTGCTGCTTGACCTTTGCTGCCGATGAAAGATGGCCGCCCCACCCCCACCCCTTCTCGTCTTTTATTTCTCTTTAGTGATCAGTCCAGATGGAGCCGCGTTCTTAGTCCCGGTCCTGGTGTTCCAGGAGAGAGAATACGGTCGGTCTGATGTGGGTCGGCTCATCAGTCAAATGCAGTCGGGGCGGGGCAGCGTCCAAGTCTGTCCAGGTGCGACGCGAGGTCACATTCAGTCAGCCTTCGGTTTACATGAGGGACTGGGAACGACCCACCGAACAGATGGTCATTTCCTTTTCCCTTCTCCTCTCCTTACTCCACCCGAGCTAACCCCACCCCCCCACGCATTGGGCTGGAGGATTGTTGATTTCATGGACTCAGACTTCTAAAATTAGGATACAAAATGTCAAAATTAGCAAAGTGAGTTTGCTGTAAGAGTTTTCTGTCCTTGGGGCACCTGGGTGGCTCAGTCTACCAGTCTGACTTCGTCTTGGGTCGTGATTTCAAGGTTCATGAGTTGGAGCCCCACAACGGTCTCAGTGCTGACAGCTCGGAGCCTGCTTGGGATTCCGTGTCTCCCTCTCTCTGCCCCTCCCCTGCTTGCACTCTGTCTCTTTCTCTCTCACTCTCAAAAATAAATAAACATTTAAAAAATTAAAAAAAAAAAAAGAAAAAGTTTTGTGTCCTATAACATGCATTTGTGAGAGCGTTGCTACCTTTTGGAGGCTTATCCAAGTAGGATTACTTACACTTCCAGATCGTTTACCCAGATAGTGGAAAATTGAAGGGTGTGAGAGGCAGACTTCACTAATTTTGGTCATTGTTAACTGCTAAAGAGTTGATCTGCAGCAGGTTTAGCCGAGTTTCAGCCCTCGGTAGAGGTGGAGCGGGAAGGGGCACAGACCCTTCTGGGACACCCGCTGAGTGGCTGACACTGCCTGGGCGGTTGCAGCCCTGGTCTACAGGTGAGGAAACAGGAGTTTAGGAGAACAGAGGACTCCGTCTCCAGCCTGCCAGCTTGGGAGTGGTAGGGTTGAGTCCAGGGGTGTTTTGTTCTCAAGCAGTGCCTGTTGGGGGAGAGAGAAGAGCCGGACAAGCACACACTGCAGGCAGGCAGCAGGTGAGGCAGGGAGAGGGCAACGTGAGGGTGCTTGCTGTAGGGGAGAGGCAGCCGTGAGGCCAACCAGGTGATTATGATTATCCGCCATCAAGCGATGACGCAAGGCGATATGCTGCCAATTTAAGGCGATGACAAGCGGCGAGGACTTGGGCTATGAGCGCTGAAGCGATGGGCGATGCTATGTGACATACATGTCGGCGATGGGCGATGTTATGACATCCATCCGCGATGGGCGATGTTATGACATACCATGCGCATGATAGACTCAGCAGGTGTGAAGATGATGTTGCTCCGCTGATGTGCATAACCAAGATGAGAGAACCCATCATGATGGACGGCGATGATGTTGCCAACCATGTTATAAGTATGCTGCGTGAGATAAGCGCGTTGATGACGGTTATGATGATATTGTCGCTACGGCGATGCGCGATAAGATGATGCTGCGCGGGCGAGGCGGGGCGATGCGGCGATGCCGGCGATGACGCGTTTATGTGATATGTTTCGGGCGATAGCGATGCTATGACATACGCCACGGCGATGCGCGATGCTATGTGAGCGCCGTCGCGCGATGACGCAAGGCGAGACAAAACCATCCATTAGGATACGCCAGCGTGACATATTCCGCTAAGCGATGACGGCAGAAGATGTTTTCTAAGATGTATACGATATTATAAAGATATGATCCCCACCATGATGACGGCTATGACATGCTGCCAACCATGATGATGACATGTTTCAGTGATGACGCGCTATGAAGATGTTTTAAGGAGGCGATGTTATGGAGATGTTTTCTATGATATCGCGCGCGATATACATAACCATGATGAGGAGAAGATAATGTTTTCGCCGCATGAGGCGCATGGTGGCGGCGATGCGCGTCGATGATGAT